TTTTTTTTTTTTTTTTTTTTTTTAGAATCTGAGTTCTCAAGCTCTTTAAAGGCTGGAAGAAATAGCTGAGTGTCTTACTGGGAATCTTCCCTCCCTAATGGAATAAAACACCCATTTGGCTAAACATCAGTCTTTGGTTGTAGTAACACAGGTGCCCAGCAGAGTCTGAATGTCATGTTTGGAGGAAGTGTCATTTGCCACTTATTTTTCTTCATGGAGAAAAGGGATGTGAATGACTGCAACTTGCAAAGGTTCTTACTATTCCTTGCAGTGAATTGTTTTCTCTTGATAAAAGCATTTGCCAGATCAGCAGAAAATGACATGCTGCCTATCACTGATCACCTTTTTATAAGTTCTAGAGAGCAAAAGGCCAGGAGCTCTGAGTTATAGCCCAGGATTTTCTCTAAAGAGCTCATGTAGTCAGACATTCCAGATGAGAAAAACTTGATCAGCTTTAGGACCTGGACAGGTTTCCTTGCCCAGGGGACCAGCCCCTTTCATTCGCTGCTTTATCAGCAGATTTCTCAGTCCTTCCCATTTCAAGATATGAATCCTTATGTCTCTCAAACCCTTTATGCTACAGTTGCTGTTCCTAGTAGCTTTCTCTGTTGAGGATTTCTTCCCTTTAGGTGCGTCATTCTTTCCAAGTTTCCCTGTAGTTTCACCACAGTGTTAGAGATCTCTGTGCCCTAAAACAGAAGCCACAAACTGCCTCATAAGATTTGGACAGGGAAAGACCGTCTGGGTCCCATTTTTGGCCCTCACAACTCCTACAGGATAGTTATTCCAGGACCACATTCTTCTCATAGTTAGAAACCTTTTAACTTGCAGCCTACTTTTATATTCATAGTTAGTTTATAACCATCTTTTATGCCTATATTGTCCTTTAGCTCTAATCCCAGCTCTGATATGCTCTGCCTGTTCAGTATTAGGCAAGTCCCTTTGCCTGTGTTTTTAGTTTGCCTGCCTTAAAATAGTGTTTATGTGCACCTGTCCCCCAGGAAAGCTGTAATGTGGAACAAAGTTTTTTTGGACACACAAAGCCCCATAGAACTCCACCACTGTAGACTTCTATGCAGATGTACCCAGTGTGTTTTACCTCCTGGTTCATATAGTGCATAATGCACATGTTCTCCACTCTGCCTGGTATTGTGTCTCTTCTACCTCCTCCCTTATCTGTGTGGCATCAGACTTCAGTTTGGGATCTCTTTGGGATGCCAAAGCAGCTCCAATACTGTGGCTTGCTGTGGTGTTTGTCCATACCTGCTGTTGCCCAGAATGTCTCTTACATGAAAGAGGGCGTATCAGCAGGCTCTCTGGGATGGAGTGGAGCACCACTAAACCTCTGCATTATCAAAGGAACAGCTGGGGACAGAGACCTGAAATTGTAGTTTCTCTCTTAATTTCCTCCTCCTTAAGAGCTATGGTTGCGAAGAGGTTAAATGATAGCAAATGAGGGCCCAGGCTTCTGGGGAATACAGACTGGCTGAGAGTATTGATTGCTTTAGCTTATTGATCCTTCAGGAAGTCATCAGCATGGAAGCAATAGTGCTGTTCTTGCCACTTTGGAGGATTTTGTTCCAAAAGCATCTTTTTGTTTACTGAAGCCAGTGAAGAATGTGCTGCTCCTCTGCTGGCCCTTCCCAGAGAGACTCCAGCCTGGGCAGCCAACCAGTGTAGCAGGGCTTCCCTTCTTGTCTGCCTGATTTTTGAGGGAAGCCTCAGAAGTAGCTTGGTAATGAGAGGCAGGGAGCTTGGTGGGATATTAAAGTTTGTCCCTTGTAGCTCTGTGGTAGCCTCTTACTTCTGGCCAAGAGCCTTGCTTACCTTCTCAGTCCTAGGCTTTCAAGGCAACTTTGCCAGCACATGCCAGTTATGACTTGCAATAATCCCTGTTGGTCATCCACCCAAGTGATTTTCACTTGTCACTTAAACAAAAAAGGGTTGGATTCTTGTATCTAAAATTAAAAGGTCACTGCACTTACTAGTTGTGGCACTCCTCCTCTATATACTCTCCTATGTATGCACAAGCATAGTTACTTCATACCCCCTTTATTTTTTTGAATCATTTGCTGAAGTTATTAAGCATTTTGCTCATCCCTAGACAACTTTCCTTAGCTGTATTTGTAGTTTGTAAGTGCTTGTTCCCTCCAACTGCTGCAGAATTCTGCACAAAATAGAGACTTAAATCATCCAAAATAAGGTGCTCATGTTTTTATTCATACCACATATTAGTTTTTCTAAACCAATGTAGTTGCTTTATATATTGGGCCTGTATTTCACTCATTTTACTGTTGGTAACTATTACTATTTTACTGAGATCTTTTACTTAAAACCCCATTTCTGGGGGAGGAGTGATAGTGGGAAACTCTGTTTTTAGTATTAAACCTCCCCCACCCAAAGATTCTAGTGCACCTTATTATGGAGAGAGGAAGTGAGAACATTAGGGCTCAAAAACTAGATGACAAATAAAAAGCACCCAACTTTTAAAATCCTCATCATGCTTTTGAGGCCTGCCTCATGACATCTGAACACTTGGGTTGCCAATAGTGGGTTTAATACAGTGCAAAGTATTGAACTATTACAACATGTTATGCAACCAGTCTGAAACCTATCACAATTCCAAGCTATATTCTGCCACTGCTCCCTTTTTTTTTAAGTTCTCATTATTAAATAATTTCCAGCCTCTGGCTGTGACTTGCACCAATGGCCTCAGTAGTTGTTGTCATTGTGTCTTGATTTATTTATTCATTTGTATTGGGATCAGGGTCCCGTTGGACTGAGGACTGCGTAGTTGCAATAGATGGCCTCAGCCCCAAGGCTCTTACAATCTAATTTAAGGCAAGACACAATTGGAGGGTGTAATTAGTGAAGAGAGAGAGTAGGTGAAGGAAGGTGAGGATAAGGATAAGGGAAACGTGATTATTGAATCAATATAAACAAATGTAACCTGTTTTGAGTGCCAGGGGTTTTGGTTGCTGCATGGCTAATTACAGGATACAAAGACTTCTAGTTTGTACAGGGCACCTGCCTACTTCTTTGATTTCTAGTTCCTCTAGCTGCTTTGGTTTTTCTGTTAAGCAGAATGCTCAGCATGCTGTCTGTGTCCTTTTACTGAATCCTTTTATGCGCTACCCCCATTTTTCTATGCTTTAGTGCTACCTTTCCTTGTATTAATAGCCTTCTTTGGTGAGAGAAGTATATAAGCCAGCAGTTCGTACGCAAATAGCTGAATTATATGTATAGGTGATGTGAGGTCACAGAGTTAAAATATATACATCCCAGGCCTTGTTTTCACTGAATTTTTTTTTTTACTGATACAGTTAGTGTGGTGTGTTTCTACTAGTAAAAGCGCCATGTGCCACACTAGCGGAAAAGTGATGGCGTAGAGAAGGCTGCAGGTGGGGAATAAGATGGTGGTTATACACAATCTGTACACACTGTGTGCACCCTGTGTAGAGTTGTTCATCTCTCACTGGTGGCATGGGCTGGACCTCTTGGCTCTTGCTTGTGTATTTTCAGGACCCATGTATTCCGGAGGCCTCTCTATGTGCATGTCAAGCAGTGGCTCAGAAGTATGAAGGAGAGGGTGATTGTATTCTCTCTGAAGTCTGTGCACAAGTGTAGGTTACATGCCAGTCACATTTTCCCTGTTCCATATTGCACAGGGCCCTGGTAAGTGTGAAATCAAGGATTCAGTCACCTGATGGGGTTTAATTCCATCCATGTGTCACATTGCAGAATCGTATGCAAGTGGAGGAACATCAAACAAACTGAACTGTAGTGTGTCATCCCTGTCCCAGCTGGGTACTTTTTCCCTCTGATTGTAGGTTTTGTTTTCTGCTTTCTCTCTCCTGTTTGCAGATGGAGGGAAAGTGACATGGTTCCAATGAGGGTGAATTAACCCATGGAGAGCTAAGCACCAATGCAACTCATCTGCATCTAGTATCTGTACAAGTTCATGCAGAGCAACCTTGGGTACCTCTTCACTGTATGGTTCCATGTAGATATACTCTCTGTGGCGAAGCCTTCAGCCTTTGTTTTTTCTTTTTAGCTGTAGTCCAATCCTGGGTTCTTTGGCATGTGACAAGAAAGGTAGGTTTCAGGGAGGACAGATGAGCACTAGGGACGTATGAAATGGGCCCTATTCGATTCAGATTCGGCCTGAATCAGGGACAGTGATTTGATTTGTTGATTCGGATCACTGTCCCTAATTTGATCAGCTGAATCCGAATCTGAAGAGAATCAGTGATTCGGATATAGACGCAACTTTAAATGTTTTTTATACATACTGTGAGAGGGGAGGCAAAAGCCCTCCCAACATGTTCCAGGACCCCTCCTGACAAGCCCTGGTACTTACCTCAGGGAAGAAGACAAGCAGCAGCTCCAGGGAAATGCCAACACAGGCTCGGCAGTTCCACAGCTTCCTGAGCCTGCGAATCGGTGAGCCCCGGGGGTGGGGCCTCGGAGAAGTGTGGGCTGCTCGAAGAGCAGCTGGGGAGACGCAGGCGGCAGAGCCAGGCAGTGGCCCTGAGTGCGGGGAAGGAAGCTCCAGCATCAGCCAGGGAAGCCTGGCTATAGGAACAGGGAGTCTGGGCTCTGGGAGTAGAGGATCGCCAGAAAGCCGCAGTGGGAAGAAGCAGCTCTTCCTTACAAGCACAGGCGAAGCCACAGCTGCGCCAGAGAGCTCAGGTACTGCAGTGGGGAGGGGCAATGAGTGACGGAAAAACCCTGCAGGTAGCCCAGTGAAGAGGGAGGAGCAGGTGGCGGCTGCATTGGAGTCTTACGGGGAAGTGGCAAGTACCACCAGGTGGTGGGATCAGGAGTGATTAGCTCCTAGTCAGCTGGGCCCTGGGAGAAACGCGTGGAGAGATGGATGGATTCCTTCTCCCGTCCCAGGGGACTGAGGGGTCCTGGGACCCAGAATCCCAGGCACCCTCAGCAGATGCTGAACACCTTTTTCAGTTGAGGATTATCCTAAGTTACAGTTAGCCCAGTCCAGGGCAGGTTTAGTTGCCCGGAAGTTGATCTGAGGACCAGGGATTGACTCAGGAGGGATTGACAGCTGGAAAGACCCGACTCGGGTTGAGGCAGGTAACATGGATGAGAAGAGATCATCTCAGGGAAGACTACAAGGAGCAGTGTCTTCCCAGGCCGGGGATGTGGTAAGGGTGGGGTAAAGGGGAGATTTAGAGCCCCACAAAGAAAGGCCAGGATCAAGACCCCTTTGGGACCACTGATGGGGAACTGC